CGAGGGCGTCAGCAAAAAGACTGCCGTCTGTTTCCAAAAACAAAGCCCCTTAGCGCCCCGGGACCGGGGAGTGGAAGGACGGCCCTACGCGCAGGCAACAGCAGCACCCGGCTTCCCCCGAAGTCAGAATCGAATCTTTCTGTTTGGCTTTTTTCTAATTCATTCGTGAATAAGAATGAAGGGCTAGAAGCACTCGCCTCTAGCTGCTTCGCCTGCTTTCTTATTATGATGGCTATGTTGGCAGTGGCGGAAAATGAACGAAACACGCGATATGAACGTGCTATTCCATCGATTGAAATAGAAGCCTGCTGATCTGTTCTGATAAGATCAAAATAAGGAATGGAATGGATAGAGGGGAATCTATCAAATAATAAGAGGGGAAATCTCCTATTTTCTATCTATTGATGAGACAAACTCTCTTTCCCATCAGAAAATAAATCGATATGTATCTGATGGGAGTCTACATCGTACGTAGAGCGCCTAAAGCGCTTTTTTGGGCCAGCTCAGTTTCTCGTTATCCATCGGTCACAATACACTAGGGGCTCATCTCAATGGAGGGAAAAGCCAAAAATGTAGTTGTCTTGTTGTTGTTCGCCGACTGCGACGCATCCCTTTCTCCCCGGCAATCGTCCACACAGAAAGAAAGAGCGCAAGAGCCCCGGCCCGACCTGTAGGTCCGCTAACGTAAAGCGAGGAGTTGGGAGCCTGAACTGGCGAACCGAAAGTCCACTTTTCGGAAACCATACTTCCCTACAGCTAAGACGTGTCCCAGTCCAGCGGGAACGCGCAGCGCCAAACGAACGTGAGCTGCTATAACCGAATCCGCCGCTTGGCAATCGGGGACCGAGTGTAAGCGCCTGGATCTGCAGGGGAACGATTTCACTCATTCTTCATTGGGGACAGGGTGCACGAAACGACAATCCAAACGTCACAACATCCGCCGCCTACCTTACCGGTTTCAGGTGCACCAGCGGCGATCCAGCTAAGGTAAGGGAAACTTCGTCTTCGTGTCGGCGGCTTGCTCCACTCCCGCCGCGGTCCTCATGAAACTGAACTTCTTGCTTCCCGCGCGCGAAGCGAATGGGCCCTGTGCGTCAGTTTCCGGGGCGGGGGGCGAAGAGACGCAGAAGAATGATTATTTGGGATCGACCGAGGCTTTTTTTCAGCCCAAATAAGAATCAAATGGAATGTCTGTCTATCCATGAACATCTATTCTATCTCTATGGGAATCTATCTCTCTATACATATAAAGTCTTTTATGGCATGATATGATCGGCCTAGCCCTAGCCGCCATATCAGCTGCGCTCATAATAGCGAAGCGGGATTTCTCTTGGATCAGATTTCTTTCCCCCTTTTTTCGGAAGGCTTTTGGACGCTAGCGAAAAGGACTTTAAGCCTTCGCGCAAAGGCAAGCGCGAGAGAAGGAACAAAGTAGAAGCTTTGGCAGAAGCAAGACGAGGAATGCGGAGCTTCTCGTATAAGCGCTATGCTTCCCCCGGCCGACTAAAATACAAGAGTCGCGACCCCTAACCTACTTTGATTCAAAGAAAGGCGAAGGCTTTGGGCAAGAAAGCCAAACGGCTTTCTATCATAGTTGCAAGGCTTTCCAAACCTTCATTAAATTAAGTACCAAAAGCGGCTTTTCCGCTGATAACGGAATAGTCTTCGGTGTCCAAAGGTGAAACAAAGGTCCCTAGCTTTCTAGAGTTCGCTGCTTTTTCCAGGCGTAAAAGGGCTTTTATACTGCTCGCCCTTTGTTTGATGATATTTTTCATGTCAGTAACAATACAAACTAACAACTAACAACCAAAGTAGAAAAGGCCACTCAACTATAGAAGCTAAAAAGTAAGCCTAATAGTAGTCGGCCTAACCAAAGCGTCACAACAAGAACCGAAAATTTTGCCTTATGAATGGAATCTTAAGTAGAGGCTTAGCCCTCGCCTACCAATCAAAGAGGCTGAGAGGTAAGCGTAAGCTCACCCGTAAGCTCTTCGAGCTTCTCGCCAGAGAGAGTAGAGAAGGGGAGAAGCGACTCGTCGTAGAAGCTCGCTTCGCGGGACGAAAGCCAAGCCTAAAAGAAAAAGATCGACTTGGGCCGCGGGGGGCAGCATTCTGAGCGTGGAAGGAAGCAAGCGGAGGCATTACGGGCCGACCACAAGAAAGCAAGCTTGCGTAGACTCGACAAAGTCGCTTTATAGAATGCCGACCTACTAAGTGAAGACTTCTACTTCATTTAATAAGGAAGGGGGCTTCGCTTAGGGAGCTTTATAAGGCCGACCACTACATCAAGCTGCCTGGCGAGAAAAGCTCGAAGAGCTTCCCCTTCATTCGCTTTCGCGGAAGCCCGCACAGCAACATAGCTGGAAGTCAGAGGGTAAACATTTGACCAAAATATACTTTTATCCGCCTAATAACATGTAAGATAAATTTCTTGCTACTTTTCGGGTTCAAGAACAATGAATTATGAATATGATTAATTTTTTTCTTTAATTCAGAAATCGAAAAGAACAAAGCAATCATGAAATTTTCACTCTCTATTTTACATCCACCCATACTTTACACACATCCAAACAAGCATTAGTTTCATATGTATCTATACGAGTATATCTGTCAACTTTAATTGGGCCCACATAGTACTTTTAAATATTTGTCTCGCATGAGTAGTTTGTGAACCCAATCTTTTACTAGGATATTTTACTAAGTATTCCTATGAATAACCTATGCGTTGTGGCTCAGTTAGCAATGCAAACTGGACATGTGGGAAGAGCTCTCGAACCCCCACTAAATGCAGCTCACTACAAGAAAATCGCCAAATGGATATTTCCATTTCTAAACAACCAAATCCATTGCTAAATTGATTTAGAAACTGATTTTATTCATGACAACTTGGGAAATTTCTAAGGCAGTTTAGCAACGAAATAAATATTCATTTCTAACATGGCAGCGGACAAGTCCATTGCTAGTATCTAGTAAATCTGTTTCCAAGTTTTAACCTCTTTAGGAACGAATTTCGTTCTCGTGCTGCTGCCGTTCCATCTCTAAAACCGTTTCTTTTCCGTTTTAATCTGTTTCTATTTTCTGTTTCTATTGATTTATTTCCGTTTCTCACATCTGACAAATACAAATTAGAATTTTTTCCGTTGCTGAATCCGTTTCTAATTCTGTTGCTAAAGTATTAGAAGATCATACTTTTTCGTTTCTTACATCTGACAAATATACTACCATCGATCGATAGAGCGGAACGACCAAAAAAAGAAGTGAAGTTAGAAAACCATATGATAGATGGTAACTACTATCTTGTCGGTTCGGGGGGGGTAATTTCGCGTCTATCAGTGGGGTATATCTTTGCTCTATCGAAACATCCAGGGAAATGGAGGTAGCAATCTACGATGTAAGTCCAGGACTGGTTTCTTCAGCCCTTTTTCTATGGTTGTGTGTCTAACATGACCGACATAAGACTCGACTGTTAGATATTGACGGAGGTTTAGTGAGCACCATGCCGAATCTCTCTACCGCATTTTCTTCTCTTCTACTTTTGGCCATATGAGTCACCTGTACTGAGCAGCTTATTGGGGAATTTCCTCATCCAGTAGGAGCTTTCCAAAAAAATAGCTTAAGTAGCTCACATTAGCAAAGCGCTTTGGATGATTAGGCGCGGGCTAATCCTTTGCTATATAATCGTGTGGTTTCTGGAAATTAAAACCCGATTTCCTCCATAAATTCTCCCGATCAAATGCAGAGAAGTTTTCCATATTTATACCTTTTCTGTGAGGGCCGGACGCCGGTTAAACTACCAAAGAAAAAAGGGTAAAACCAATGTGATCATGACATTGTAGTGGCTTGCGAATGGGACGGAATGCGACCTTTCCCCTCAGTTTGGTTTGGGTGGGACAATAACGCCCCGTGCGGAAGTCCCCTTTTTTTGGAATCCCACTCTTTAGTCTTTAGGGAGCCAAAGCTTTACTTAAAATAAGGCTTGCGGAGGGGCGCTCACGTTTTGTCTGAGCGTATCTTGCTGGGTGGGAAGAAAGAAAGGACGGGGGGCAACCATGCATGGTACTTCTCGACCGTGTCTCCGAGGGACAGTTGAACGAGCGACTCATGAATGCTGCCGGGTTGCACGAGCTAATAACTCGAACGCGTTCGGTCTGTTTTTTGAGCAAGAATTACAGCGTTACCTTACCTTCACCATGATACGGACTCTAAGTTCTTATGGAAGAGCACGAGGATTGACGATTTATCATCAATATGATGATGGAAATGGAAACCAGAAGCACGACCGGGGTCTTCGTAGTCCAAGATAATTAAACCATCAGTAACAGTAACGTAAGCATGAGACTTTTTGGTAGTACCGGTGAACCAGATGGCCGCGGCGATGGAATCTGGGACGGAGGACTCATAGTATCTCTCTAGATCTGGCAAAAGCGAAAGACCCCCTAACCAAACACTTGATTTTCTATTACTAGCACATTTAATTACTTATTATCATCAAAACAATTTGGTGTCAAACTTGTGGGTTCAACATCTTTATTTTCCATTTTTATTTTGAAAAATGAACTTATTTCATGTGAAACAGGAATCTAAAAGAAACAAAGGAGGCAAGGCAAGTCATTCAAAATGGAGAAATTATGATGACTTGAATGAGTACTTCTGGTGAGAATCTTGAACAGTAAATTCTGTTTGTATTCCATCAGATCAGGCCACTAGCTGAACTTTTTCTATGTGTTTCAGGTCTGATAAATGTTTTAGGCTGGGGTGGCCAATGGACCGTAATGCAGATTTTTTTGTTCATACCGATGACACGCTGCATACAAATGAGGTTTGTGTCTGTCTCTCTTCCTGGTTAAGGTTTTTGCTTTTTTTTTTTTTTTTTTTTTTTTTTGCTCTAAACTTGGATTTGAACTCCCAGCCTCACAATCCTGTTCATAAATCCAGTTATATTGAATTAAAGTTAGTTGGTGCTGTTCTTGATTAATTTAATTAAACTCACTCACTTATGTGTGATCACTTCTCTTGATCTTATAGCAGGCCAATATACATGCTTCTCCGCATGGCGTTTCATCATGGAATCAACCATCGCTCAGTAATGAGAACAAGAATGGCCTGACAATACCTGTTTCCAAGAAACAAGAAACAAATGATCAAGATCAAAGAGAGAACACGTCAGTTAAGTGGATGTCTTCAAAGATGAGGTTGATGAGGAAGATGATGAGCTCGGATCAAATGGAGTCCAATAATTATGTGCACAAGTTTGAAGAGAAGAAAGATAGATCATCACCTTTACAAGACGATAATAGCAGCAAAAACTTCTCCAATAATAACAACAACAACAACAACTCAATTAGGGTTTGTGCTGACTGCAACACAACTAAGACCCCTCTTTGGAGGAGTGGTCCTAGAGGTCCTAAGGTAATTCAACTTCTTCTCTTTGTTTAAATGTATTATAATATTAAGATAAATTTTTTTGAGGGTTAATTAGCTAGGCTATATATTTGCAACTTAGTATTTTGTGTATAAATTTTACAATTATCTTATCATTATACATTTTATTTGGCGCAGTCGCTTTGCAACGCCTGTGGAATTCGACAAAGGAAGGCGAGGCGAGCTTTGGCTGCAGCTCAAGCAAATGCAAATGGCACCATTTGTGCTCCTGAAATACCAGCGATGAAAACTAAAGCGCAAAGCAAAGAGGGCAAAGCAAATAATAATCATCTTCCATTCAAGAAAAGGTGCAGATTCACAGCGCAAGCTCGAGGAAGAAAGAATAAGCTTTGTTTTGAGGATTACTTATCAATAATCTTGAGCAAGAATTCAGCTTTCAATCAACAAGTTTTTCCTCAAGATGAGAAGGAAGCAGCAATTCTACTTATGGCTCTATCTTATGGTCTTGTTCACGGTTGATGAGTTTTCAATAATTTTTAATTCCTCAATTCTCCAATTTTAGAATTAGTTTCCTTTGTTTAGCTAATTAACTCGTAGCTAGCTGGATTGCATATTTTGTGTGAGAGATTGTTTTCGTATGAGGGAGAGAAATGAAATCAAGTATGAGCAATTAAAATAATAAGAATTTTAAGGATTATTAGTTGTCTTTTATGGAGCTAATTAATAAAATGTACGACGTTTTAATTTGTTGTTTTGATCACAAAATTAATATAATTTTGCTCTATGTTTTTCCATTTTCTTTTATTATTATTATTATTATTATTATTATTATTATTATTATTTGTTACAAAAAGAGAGAAGGGCTACACAATTCACACCCTGTGAAACATTGGAGGTGACCAAAGGCGCAAGACTACCAACTGATTCTAATTCTTCCTTAACCATGCTGAGCATCACCCTACTCTCAGCAGTTTATATTTTCTTTTACTGTTAATTTTTCAGAAACTTCCAACTGAATTAACCAAATTGATCCTTACATTGCTTTGTTCATGATATAATATAAGCTCTTACACTCAGAAGAACTAAAGTGAAGTTTTTGCAAATAGTACATAATGTCTTGGTGATCATTCATAGTCAATGAATCAATAATGTTAAGGTTTTTCGGATTTTAAGGTGCTGTGCCAGATATTTGAGTCACGAGATATCAATTAAAATTATTGTACATATCCAGCAGCAGGGAACCCACTTTTATCTCTTTCATTGAGTGGACAAGATCCATTCATCTATACTATACACTCTACCCTAAACATACTCCCAAGTTAATTTTCCAGATAGCAAATTTCTTGCCTATCTTAGAGATAACATCAAAAGATTGGGAGAAAAAAGGACAGTCTCTTTCTTTTGACCTAAATAAAGAAGTGATGGTGATGGCGATGATACACATTACATGGGGGTTACAGCATAGGCTTTTTGTGCATTCTGAAAAAGATTCTGGAGGAGAATACTTTTGACTCAGGCGTTGTCTCGAACCAATATGAAGAGTAGTCTTCAACAATGGTTGTTTGTTTATAAAGTACAAGAAGAAGAAGAAGAAACAAAATACCCAATTCTAACCTTCAATTCTTGATGGATTTCCAACGGGACAAATTAGTTAGAAAACGAATCCTAATGAAATATTTTCTCAAGTGGGTTTCTAACTGTTGTTTTCATTGTAGGAAGGGGATGTTCAAACCCTATATATACATATTATTTTAGATAGAGATATATACTTTCAGTTTTAATTAATTATAAGTAAATTAAATGAGATTATATAATTTATAGTGTATATTCTATTATATGCTTTAATTGTTTTTAAATTTTATCATTTCTGAACGTGAACCTGCTTTTGGGAGCTTCCTTCGTCACCCTCTTTCTTAAAGCCGGTGGTGATCTCGCCGGCCGATCTTCTTCTCCTCCTTTTGTCCAATGATTCCTTCTAACAGGGCATTCGTGAGCAAGCCGTGCGAGAATCTCCGGCCGTATCTTGCTTCTTTCTTTCATCCCAGCGCATCAACTGATCCTTAAATGACTAATCCCTGGCTATGGAAGACGGGGGATGGCCGCTTGGCCATGCTATCGACTAATACAGTATCGTTGTGTCAAAAAACTGAAGAACAAACAATTACAAGAGAGGAATAACTAATAATAATAAAAAAAATACATTTCTCTTTTTTTTTTCTTTAAATTTTTGTGATCTATTGCCTAAAAGCGATTATGCATCATCGTTATATCAAATTCCATCATTGAAAGGCTGAGGCCGGATTCGCTCAGTCATCAATTTATGCTTCTCCAATGGGAGCCCTTACTAGTAAGGGCGCGTGAGCCAGCGGGGAGCCGGAGATCTCTAAATTTCACAAAAGCTTCAGGTCGAGCCCCCCTCCTTCAATAAATGTCGAAGGATCACAAAGAGTCGCTTTCTTCTCCCCAACATCATTCTCATACAAAGAAAAGTAATGGATTGAGTGGGTCCTATCAATTCGCGATTCCGCTTCATTTCTTCTCTCATAGAGAAGAGAAAAGTTCCAACAATCGTCTCCGTAAACTCCTGGTATCTCCCGAAATAAGTAGAGGTAGCGCCCTCGAGAAAGTGAAATCTCTTACTTCTTATCTAAGCAGGAAGCTGAACCGATACGGACTCGCCACGCTTAGGAAATAGGGCTTCGCACCTTCTCAAGGCTACGCCCTTCCTTATTGCTTGGCTTTGTCATTCATTGGCAATGCATCATTTCCCTGCGGATCTAAAAAAATCTCTTTTTAGAGAAAGCAGAAGCCAGAGAGAAAGCCGCGAGGAATATTCTCATCCGTTGCAGGACTGAAAAGGAGATTTTCAAGAATGAGAATCTCTCATTGCTGGAGGGAGGGCGAAATAGAGCGGGGTGGTGCCAAAAAGTTAGTCGGAGTCGGACCTCACATAATCGAATCGGCTTCAGTTTTAGGAAAAACATACTTTTCAATCAGAGACTCCCTTTTTAGGAAGGCTCGAGATGGATTTAGGAGTCTTTGTGCGAGCCGTATGTGGTGAGAGTCGCACGTACAGTAACGAGGGGGGTTCGCGTCTATACGTGTAGTGTGGTGGTTGGGCCTACCCACCCTATTTGTTCCATGCCGTACTCGAGCTGCAGATCAATGTCCCTAGAAGTAAGGAGTAGGCCCCAATAATTTGTTTTCAATCGAAGCATCAAGCAGCGCAACCCAGTTCTACTTGACTATGCCTCGTGCTTGTCCAAGGAGGTGCAGAGCAAAGGCTTTCTAGTCGATAAGTCAACAGATGATCCCACCGACAGACTGCGAGAAAGACTTGGTCAAACCAAACCTGCTCCACTCGACTTTCGAGTCGAGTAGCAAGACAGAATAGGCTCTAGATGCTCTAAAAAGAACTTCCCTTGAATCAACTGCTATTGAAGACGTTAGCCCAGTTCTCTTTGCTAGGTTCAGTGAATAGGGAAATTAGGTTAGTCTTATTCCCTAGCTGAGTGAATAGGCTGCTAGCGCTACACACTTGGTGGCCAATCCTGTGTTCCATGCCCACTCTAAGCACATAAAAGTTGACTACCACTTCAAGTCCTACTGATACTGAAACCTTTTCTGGCACAAGCGCTTTCAACAGGGCATTCAATACATTGATCGTTAGTCACTTCTTCTTAGATCGTTCGTGCCCCATAAAAATGGCTCATTTCCTTTAAGATACCGCTGCTACCTAGATACTTTCAATTCCCTTAGCCAAAGCTTATCACACTTTTAATTTGCTTGCTTACCTGGATTGGTACTACTTAATGGACTGGCTTGGAAAGCAATTTCTGTAAACCCGCTTGAAATTTTCGAAAACCAGGCAAAAACCCAAAAACCGAGCAAATTGAGCCTAGAATCATTGAATTGAGCCAAACCGGTTCGAGTCGAACCGGAATAGCCCAGAAAATGAACCGTTTCTTTTTTTTTTCTCTTCTTGTTCTCTTCTTGGAGGCCAGCGTGACACCCCCCCCTCCCCCGTGCACTGCATTTCTGACCATCGCCGATTAGAGTAAGGGTGGCGGTCGACCCTCCTTGAGGCGCTGGTCCCTCCGCCAGTCTCCAGGCACGCGGAACGATCTTCGATTGGCGTGAATCAGGACTGTCTCCTTTGACAGCACCCTCTCCTTCGATTTCCCGACGAAATCTCGCCGTTCAGTCACTCTCAGACGCTGGGAAGGGTCCCAATCGACTCCTACTCACCTCCGAAACATTTCCCCTCCTTTAACTTTGAAGATGTAGCCCGTATGGTGGAAGTGCCATTGAAGGCGGCGGTGGAGCGGCTGTCGAGCCCGATTCCGACAGACAGGCTCACCAAATGCACAAACGGAGCATGAATTCGAGTTCCTGGTGAATTTTTGAGTCTGGTGGTGTAAGCGCCGCTCAAATCCAACAGAGGCATGAATTTCGGGCCACCGTGCAAGGTGGCCGGCGGCGGTTCGGCGACTGGCCGGCTGGCCCCCGGTGAGGCACCAAGGGACAGAATTCTCCTCTCTTCACGATGATCGTGGAATCGTTGTCCGATTTTCAATTGGTACACTCTACGACCCCAATCCTAAATTTTGGTATAAATTCCAAATTGAAATTTATTGAGCAATTTAGTTGATTTCGGATAAACAATAATTGAAGAACTTTGGAATATTAGGTTTGAAGTTTATGAAATAATTGGGGGTTTTAGGATAACTTAAACTTAAAACGTAACTATTAGGAATTGTGATTATATTAGAATATGGTATAAATCAATTTGTACAATGTATATGAGTTAGGTGGAGAAGAACCTATGTCTTTCGGTGGTCAATCTTTACTTCAAATATATGAGGTCATTTAGATAAACTAACCATAGGAAGTGGTATTTGTTAAAGGGTGAGTTGAGTTATGTAGTAGGTGTATGTCTTAAAAATTTAATTTAAATTAGCATTGGTTATTGGTGGCTAGTATAGAATTTTTAGTAGATGCATAAATAAACGAGGTTTATACCGGAAGTAAGAATGGAGAAGTAAAGATGTAATGAGAAGTTTCTTAATGATTAGAAGTCTAGAAACTATCAAATGAGAGTAGCTATATTTAATTTGGCAAAACAAGTTTTATTGATAAAATTGTTTAGTTATTTGGTAATGAATTATAGGTCAATTAATAATATTATTGAAATATGCTCGAAGGTTAATATAAACTGTTAATTAATTGGTTTGGAGCTATTAAATGCATACATGTGTGTGTGATAGATGATATATATAGCCTGAAGCGAATGGGTACTTGATTTGATTGATTGCTAGATGGATGGGTCGTGTGAATCGAGTAAATGATTAAATGAATGAATAATAGTTATGGCAGACGGGATTAGTTGTTTTGAAATTGCCCAAAGGATAGGCTATGCAAATGCATTGTTGAATTATGGTTTAATCAAATTTTAGGGGAAGTTCTGCTAAAATTTTGATAGAACCTAGGCTAGTCCTAATTAATAATTAAATTAATAGGTTTATTTAGATTAATTCTTGAACTTGATACATTAAGAATAAAGTTATTTATTTATTTATTATTATTATTATTATTTATTTTCATTATTATTGTTTATTACTGTTATTTATTTACTTATTTACTTATTTGCATTTGAATATGGATGTCTAATTAAGCACTTGCATTATGATGTTGAATTGATTGACATGTCTGCATTTAATTACAATGCTTGATTATTTGTGATGTGA